GTACCATTCTGCTCCTGCCCATGTGCCACACGGTGGCATTATTTCCAGCATCCAAGACTCCCACAGTCAATTTATACAATCCCAGCACATGCCGGGGCCAGGCCCACACACTGGCTATCCATCTAGTGCTGGTGCCCTTCCAAACCCGACAGTCGGGGTCTTCAATGGACAACCTGACAGTTTGTCTCTGAGCCAACTAGTACCTTTGCAAGCACCAATTATTGACCTAAGTGTGCCTACAATGCAACCACCTAATGACACCAACATGCCAACAGGACATATGGCCATGTCCATGCCTGTGCCTGCAGTGAACCCTGCCATTACTCCCCAGCACACCTCTGGTAACGACTCACACAGTGTTCTTAATACTACCAGACGGAAGAAAACTGGCAAGAAAATCTCCAGACAAACCGGCTCTCGTGACCCTAATTCATCCCTGAACCAAGCCATTCCTGCAACCTCTGCCACAATGGCAAACGGTGACTCATCAAATACAGGACACTTGAGATTTAAAAAATCCACCAAACGCTCACTTTCCAACTCTGAAGCACCTACAGGCTGCCAAAGGCAGAAATTTTAAATGTAGAAGATCAAACTCTGTAACAGGACTCAAGAGACAGGTCCAGCTTTCTAATAAGACTGAAAGTTTATTTTACTTTCTCTTAACACAAGTCTTCTCTACCTACAGCTTGATTGCTTTATTAGGATGTTCCAGTGGAGACTCATTAATGACTCTTTAGTCACCTTCTCTTGCTTGAAAACTAGCTTGACTCAGCAAAGAGCTGGACCATGTTTCAGAAGTCCTAGATCCTGAAAGATGAAAAGCTGTTTCCTCACAAGTGGTACTTATTGCATTACTCATTGCACTACCACTATCTTTCCTTATTTCAAATAAAGCCCCCATCTTTATTAATAAATACAATTTAAAATGAATTCATCAAAATTAAATGATTTGTCCATCTTTTCTTTTGTTGATGGGTTCCATAGGTTTGGGTGTGAATCAGAAGTATAATAAAGGGTCTATTTAAATAAACAGTTTGCAGAGAATGCAAATAGCCATAGAAAGAGCTTTAGATTAAATGTAAAAGTCAACATTCAACCGAAGTATGAGGATTCCTGACTCCCCTTAAATCCAATTTTTTAGGAGGTGCAAGGGAATTGGTTCCCCAGAGCTATGATATCCATGAATATCACTGGATATGCCCCAAACCTGTTTGGTTGTCTGTCTGGCCTCATTTGGTGGCACTACGATGTCCTCGTGACAACATCATGCAGTCAGGACATGTGGCCACAACATCACCTGTGCCTGCAGTGAACCCTGCCATTACTCCCCAGCAGGCCTGTTGTAGTGACTCACATAGTGTTTTCACACTGCCACACTTGTGAAAACTGGCACAAAAACTCCAGCCTAGCAGGCTCTGGTGACCCTAATTCCTCACTGAACCACATTATGCTTGCAGCATCACCCACAATGGGAGACGAAATAACTTGAAGTAAGTACAAAGGTTTGAATTCAGAGGTCTTCATCCTTGCTTGATTGATTGGCCGGTGGTCTACCACTTGAGCCATGTCTCCAGTCCAGCTTTTTGATGTTTAATTGGAGTTAGAATGTCTTAACTTATCTGTCTGGGTGGGCCTTGAAGTATGATCTTCTGCATCTTCCTTTCTGGAACAGGTAAGATTACCACCAGGAGCCTCCTGTACCCCATTTGTAGGAATTCCTCATAGTGCTCCCCATTCTGTCTTCACATTTTTTATTTAGTTTTATTTAGTTTTGGTTGTTGTGGGGCCTGAACTCTGGGCCTGGCACTGTCCCTTAGCTCTTTAGCTCAAGGCTAGCTCTCTGCTACTTGAGCCAGAGCTCCACTTCTGGCTTTTTCAGCTTATGTGGTGCTGAGGAATAAAACCCAGCGCCTCAGCTGTGCAAGGCAAGCACTCTACCACTGAGCCACCTTCCCAGCCCTGTTTTCACAATTTTAAATGACATTAGTTTCAGAACTTAAAAACATTTGCATTTCCCAATACCAGTACATGCATAAAAAAATTGAATGCAACTTATACCATCTCAAATCTGCATTTCTTGAATCAAACCAGAGGATAGACTAATATTTAGAAAGGAAATATTTGTGAATGATAAAGTATTCCATCCTCTCAATTGCTGTGTAGTATGATTTTTACCAGGTATAATAATATAAAACAAAAATGATACAATTTTAAATAATTCCAACAAAATAATGCAGGTTTTACAAGGGAAGTTAGTGAATAAGGAAACATGGATGCAATAGGAGAGAGCTATTGAGGTTTGAACATCAGCTTTGGGCTGGGAGTATAAGTATGTAGATATCTTCGTTTGTAAGTAAACAAACATTTCTTGTCATTCAAACAAAAAAAAAATGAGTCAACATAAAGATAGAGGTGTTTACCAAACATTTTGGGATTTTGGACCCCTAAGGAGAAAGCTGTTACTGGCTCTGAGTTTTCTGCTTGCTTTTGTGGAGTCAGGGAGTTGAAAAATCATGGAATCCTGAGTAGGTCTAGTTCCTTTCCTCCAAGTTCCATAAAGTACTACTTTATGGGTGGAATCCAGTAAGCCTCCCTGCTGGCAGGGATTTGTGAGCATCTGAAATACCTCAGGCTCTCAGTCCCTGTGTCTTGAGGCATCAGGCTCAGTTCCCTGTAGAAGACATCATTAAGTGACAATGTAAAGAGCTACACAGAAGCTAGGACTCTCCAGTGTCTAGTAACGGGTACTGAATGCTAAATCCATGGAAGACCCTGAGTTCTGTACTTTAAAATTAGTACCTATACAAAATTAAAGGTGCAAGTAGGCTTTAAAATTCAGTCAGGGACCCATAAAGTATAATACTAGCCACTTGGGAAACAGATATTAACGGACTGTAATTCAAAGCCAGCCTGAGCATAGAAATACATAATACTCCCATCTCAACAATGAATGGGTGAGGTGGTGTAAGCCTGTTATCCCAAACTACGGAGAAAGCACTCTGGCTGGGCACAATGGCACTTGCTTTTCAGCCTAGTGACAAAAGGAAATACAGGAGAATAACAATCCAGGCTGGTCATAAAATCAGACACTCCCAAAATTAATCCAAACCAGCAAACTGTTTATCAAAATAACTACCAGGAGGTTCAGTGGTGTTAGGGTGAGAGGTAATTAAGGAATAAAGGGAGAAAGTGAAAATTTACACGCACATGTGTGCGTACACTCACACACACACACACACATACCCAAGCCAAGAATGTGCTAGAGGCATTGTTCAAATGGTACTTGCCTAGGAAATGTGAGACTTGAGCTGAATCGCAATACTAGAATGGTGAGAGAGAGAGAGAGAGAGAGAGAGAATTCGTTAACTATAGAAACAACAAGAAAAAAAGAAAAATGAGAAGAACAAGAAGCAGCAGCAAAAAGGAATAAAAGAAAGAAATAAAGAATGGGCATAAGATAGATTATACTTAAGGATCTTTGGAAGGGAATCATTAAAAAATGCCCTGTTCCATAATAATTTTCTCCCAGATCCTCAATGTGTCCCTTCTGTTCTTCATTTTTTCTCATATTGACACACAGGTAATGACAACAGTGAATCTTTAAAATGATTTCAAAGAATACTTTTGGACAATGTAAATGAGGCCTAGTTCAATGTCACGATTACACACCCTGTTCTCTGTATTACCTGTTGGGCTGGAGGTAAAACCACAATCTAACTTAATGCACCTGCCTATGTCAGTTACTCAGTCAACACAAACCCAGAGTATTTGTTCCAGGAGCTCCAGGAGAAGGATCAGGGAGACTACACAGAAGGCAGATAGGCAGAGGGAGGGATATCAAGGCAAGTGACTATTTTGCTTTTCTTTCCTACTGGTTTTGTCTAGTAATTGTGAATATTCAAAATTAATTAGCACAGAAAAGGTGACTCTGTGCTGTTCCTCTGCATGATATGATAGCATTCTGGGAGTAGGAGAAGGGAGCAAGAGGAGAAAAAGGGGGAACAGGACAAGAATGTTCAGCCTAAGGGAAAGGAGGAGGAGAAAATGGAGGAATGGAGGAAGGAAGGAAGGAAGAAAGGAAGGAAGGAAGAAAGGAAGGAAGGAAGGAAGGAAGGAGACAATGGTTCTTTTTAAGAGCTATAAGATGCCAGGAGCCAGTGGGTCATGCTTTGAATACTAGCAAGATCACTGTTCAAAACGAACCCAGGCAGGAAATTCCCTAAGACTTTTAACTCCAGTTAGCCACACAAACCTGGAAGTGGAGCTGTCACTCAAGTGGTAGAGCACTAGCCTTGAGGAGAAAAGCTCAAGGACAGAGCCACACTCAACAAATACAGGGGAAAAAAAAGCTGTAAGTGATTATGTAGCTTCAGACTTCATTGAAGAGAACACCATGAGACAAGTTTAAAACACTTAGACCTGTTATGGTGAACATGTTTTAATATAATAACAACACTAGCCAGTTCTGCTGCAATCACCAAAGTTCTCTTTAAGATAAGCACAATGTTTTAGCTCAGCTAGTGTTTTGCATTCTATGGAAAGAAATTTGAAAATGAGCTTATTCTGTTTAAACACAATGGGCATAAACTCAGGCAAGCAAACAATAGTAGATTTCCTTTGACTTTCTGAGAGACCAAAGACATTCCAAAGGCTGAAAATGTTCTCGGAAAGAAGTCATTTTTCCACTGTGTCACAGTTGAAGCATTGTAAGTAGTACATTATCCTGTGTACTACAGACTGTGTTGAATAATACAAAAGGTTTCTCATATAATCTGTTTTGATGGTTTAGCTTAAGGGCTAAGAAGTGCTTCTCTGTACTTCATCCTCTGGGAGTTTTTGAGAATCGGAATATTTCACCTAACAGGTTAATTAACAGAGAACTATTTCCACCTTAAGTACACACAGTTGCCACTTTGCTTGAAGAGAAACGAGCTGTTTATTTGCTCTCATGATTTTTTAGTGAGAATATCAGAGCTGCATTAGGAGATTTTGATGGATAGAAGTTTTATAGTACCAGTACTCCATGGGTTTGAACTTGTCAAACCAACTAGTGGTTAAGAAAATCCAGAAAGGAAAAGTCTGAACCTAGGAGAATTGGGGCAAGGGTATTCTGTGCGTTATATGCATATGTCAGGCAAGTTAAAATGTACCTTCATCTTTTTCAAATTAGAAAGCAACAACATGCATCCCACATTGTCTTTAAATTTTACAGAGGTGATAGACGGTTCTCACTTTTTATTAGAAAGAATCAAATAGCATACGGCACTGGTGTGTCTCGTCTTTTGTCAGTTTCTAGTCACCCCATTGATTTGAAATGTGATGGTGAACTTTCTCAAACTCTGCTCTATGTATGGTTCCATGATGTCTGAGGGATAGAAATAGCCATGGAGAAACTGGTACCACAAGCAGAGTTTGCATCCATCTTGTGATGCCACGGTTTCAACTAACACTCTCTCAGCTCCTGGCTGGCTCTCTACTACTTGAACCATTCCCCAAGTCTGGCTTTTAGATGGTGAATTGGAAGTAGACACTTGTAGACTTGTCTGTGTAGGCTAGCTTGGAACTGTAATTTTCCTGAGCAGCTAGGATGAAAGGCAAGATCCACTGCCACCTGGCTTGTCCCACACTTTCCTTCCCTCCATAGTCAACCCTGCAGAGCGCTTGTGTCTGATGGAAGAGTTTTCAGGCTTTGATTCTGGTTGTTGGCTGATCTGTGACCTGAGAACAAGTAATTCCTCTAAGTGCTAGCAGAACCACATTTTCCCCCTCTTTCCCAAAAAGATGAAACATATAAACCATTTTGAGTACATGTCATCCTTAATTTGACCTCCATTTTAAGATATACTTATGTGTCACCAATTTATGTCATTCCTTTTGATACTAATACTTCAGAGTCTTAGACAAATGTATTTGTAGCTTAAGAATAATGCATCAGAAATAATACTTTAGAGTTTTGGGCAAGTTTCTAACTTTATATTGGGTCTCTTTAGTCGATTTTCTGCCTGACATTTTCACAGAATGGTGGGGATAATGGTGGCAGAAAACACCCACTGTCACTCTTCAGAATCCTCTAGAACAATACTAGTGAGAATTCTCAAACCCAGTAGCTACCTATTCTGAGGCTACCTAAATTGGTTACTTAAGCTTGATTGTTTTTAATAGGTAGAAGTCTCAGAATATGGCCTTAATTCCTGAAATCTGTGTTGAAGGGTTTTTAGGTAAAGCATTATGCTTGAAAATGCCAAAAAAATCCAGAGAAAGTAGAAAAGAACTAGATGATGGATTTCCTTTCCAAATTATGCACTGAAGTTATACTCTGAAAGAGATATTTGCCTAAGTGCCTTAATATCATGCAGCGAGGAAAGTGGAGGTACAGTGTTTTCATTGATCTAACAAGACTTGAATTTTACCAACGTTAAGTTCAACATGAGGCATTCATAGCTAGTATTCTTCATCTTCTCACTTTCTTAATGCACCTGTTTGGTGCAGTACTTTGAAGGGAATGGATGATTGTTTTAGAACCAGCATTAAACCTCTAGAGCACAAAACAATTCTTAACTTACATCTTTCTCTTCAAGTCTTCTTACCCATCCTGTTTAGATATCTTCAATTCCAAATGACTAATTCTTTGTGTATTTAAGTAGCCATACTACACTACTATAAAGAAATTAATACTTCAAACTGTTGTAAATTAATCAAACTTCTCTGACTACAATGTCATTAAAAGAGGAAATAAGTGTGCTATGAAGCATGCTTGTAATCAGAAGTGCCTAGAGGCAGAAATGAGAGAATTTTTGTTTGAAGTTAATCTGTGCAAAAACAGCAGAATACTATCTTAATGAACCAGTCTGTCAGGATTATTCTTGTCTCTAATCCTAGCTATCTGGGAGGTGAAGGTGGAAGTATGGTGTTTCAGGGCTGACTCAGGAAGAAAGTATGAGCCTATATCTAAAAAATAATTGAACAGGTCTGAGAGCATAGCTCAAGTGGTTGAGCACCTGCCTAGCAAACACAAAGCTAGTTCCAACCCCAGGACAGAGGGAGAGAGAGAGAGACAGAGAGACAGAGACATAGAGAGAGAGAGACAGACAGATAGACAGACACAGACACAGAGAGGAGATATGAGCATCTGTAGAAGAAGCAAACACGAACCAAATTCTATTCTTTTATTCTTTTTGTGACATATTTTCACACATCATCTATCATTATAGCTGAAAAAGGTACTTCACTCTTAGAACCCTGCCTCCTCTCAAATTTCCTTTGAATTAAAAGACTTGAAAAAGGGGTAGATGCAATGTCCTTATAGCCTCCTCCTCAGAAAAGCGAAATCATTGTGTACAAGGTATGTGCAGTGCAGCTAGGGACAGCCAGCGTGGATTTAAACTTAGGGCAGATTATGGAAGAGCTCAGAGTGACATTTACCTGAGTGAAACCACAGTGCTTCCCAGAAGTGGGTATATGGAGGAGTAGGCAAGATGGAAGAAACAAGCAATAGTAGAGGGTATATATAAGCCAGATGAAGGTCTTTTTGTTTGTTTCCCAAACTGTTGAGCAAACAAATACATTAAAGGTAGATATTAATAATGCATTTTTATATTAGGATGGATCGGAGTGATGTACAGAAGGGTGTAAAGATACGACTTACAGGGTTGTTGCGATTGAGGGGAAAAATAAGACTCTAAACTCTGCTATTAGAAATGAAAGTAAAATCTTGGCTAGCTGAGATCAATCTCTGCAGGAGAAGACCATCCTTTTGTAGTGGTCACAGCAGCCCTCTGTATTCTGGTGAGTGATGGAGAATGAATCAGGGGCAGCTTAAGAGACTGCCATCAGCCTGCAGGCAAGGCTTAAAAATATTGAGGGATTTGTGGCTGTTCCCAGACCCAGATCTCACTGACATCTCTGAGAAGAAAATGGGTGGTAAAGCAATTAATGACAACAATGCTGCAATACTCATACAGGTGTATTTCTCACAGGAAAGAAATAGTTTGCACTGAAAAGCATACAGCTATGAGTTAGGAGTACCTACAAAAATGAAGAACAAATCCCTTCTTGGAAGAATTGTTTGAAAATTTGGGCTTTTGTCCTAGTGATAATTGGAGGTTAGACTTCTGATTAACACATTTTTTCCTGGGCATTTCCTGGACTATAAATGTTTGCCTTGTGATATCTACTCTGGCTAGGTGACGAGAGGCGGTGGTCTTCTTGGAGATAGAGAGGCAGGAATAGAGGTGGAGAACTTGTAAAAATATGAGAAAGAAAGTTCCCTTCAATCTAAGCTCTGAAGAAAACATTCCAACACATTATTCACCAAGTTGGGGAAGAAATATACTTCAAATTGACTATATTTTATATGCCTTATTAGAAACTAGAACTATCTCTAAAAACTGGCATGTGTGGCCTTGGACGTTTAGCAGAATGCATAAGAATGTAACCAAAAAGCAAGAACATACAAACCAAACACTGGGAGATGAGTTGTAATTGCCTCTCTGTAAATTAAAATTTAGGTTTTACAGGTGGTTAAATATTGGACAGAAAATGTGTTCTGAGGACTCTAGAGAGATAGCTCTGGTTAACTTTTAAACACAAGGTTTAGAGGACTTGTCTATTAAATCTCTCTGTGAAGATGTCTAAGTATTTAATGAGGAAGAAATTTATAGCTTCTTATTTTGGACCAGAGTGCTTGGCGGGTAAGAAGGTCACATGACTGCTTCATGAACTTACTTGTATTTCTCTGTCTCATCCCACTGTGAAGCCAGAGAGTAGGCCGTGTAATGTGTGGTAAGCATGACCACTGGTTCATTTTCTCATGCACTGCATTTCTATGACAAATTTTAATTTGCTATATACATCTGTTGGGGTTGTCTTTCTATTAAAGACAAATTGGTGTGTGTGTGTGTGTGTGTGTGTGTGTGTGTGTGTGTGTGTGTGTGTGTGTGTGTGTGATATAGAGAGAGAGAGAATGTCCCTGTACCTATGTGTATGCGAAAGTCAGTCAGAAAGAGAAGCAGATAAGATAGGAAAATTCCTTTGTTTGATTTTTAATATAAAAATTCCATGCCTTAGTAGTAATATTTATAGTTTGTTTATAATATAAAAAGTCCATGTATTTGCAGTAAGATTTATTTGTTTCCAGTTAGTGGACCCATTCTCAGATATTGAAAAGGCGGCTTTTTTCCCCCCATTTTGGAATATAAGATTACACAGCTCACCAAAAATGTGCATGTAAGTTTACATTAAGGTTCCAGATAGTGATTATGAATTACTATAAAATCTCTGGCAATTACTTTCACAAATGTCTGCTTTTCTATGGATGGAGCAATGTTTTATCAAATACCCTGAGAATACTGCAATCAGCAAAGTATTTGCTTAGGGGAGAGATTTAAACGAGTTGAAGGCTTACTTTAATCTTAGTTGCCTTTCCTTAAGCCAAATAGTGTGTAGCGTTTACCTCAGCTGAACTTACTTGGATTAACTGCTTTGTTTGATTTGCATGTATATAGCATCCTCTAATATCTATGAAAATATAAGGCATCCACTTTTATTCCGTTGTAAAGAAATAGAGGCACAGAGGATATTCTGAGAAGATAGTGCTGGGTGGGGACAATCTGGGAAGGAAAAAAAAAGAAGCTGTCCAAAAAACAATTGACACTACCTCTATATTAAATTCTATTTAGTAACTTTTGTCATTGAAAATAAGAGGCATTAAGTCTGCCTGGCTTCTCTTTACTTCCTGAGATTTGGGCTGTAAGGAGGCCATGAATTTGGGCATCTGTTCACATCTTAGGGTGGGTGGGCACCAAGAGAAGGCTCACCAGCTTGAGGGGGCCTGGGTGAGTGGAAGAGCTAACAGTACCTCCACCAGCTGAACTTCCAGGTGAAGTAGAAAGAGGCTCCTTGTATGGCTGGGGTGGGAGCCTAATGCATAAACACTCCTGTCTGCTTCCTCCTCCTCATTCTAAGTAAGTGGGATGTTTGCTAGTCATGTAAACAATGCCTTATAACACGAAAAGAACACACCGACCTCAGATTTCATTCCAGATTCCCTTAAGCAATGCATGGGCTATTTTCATTTTAAGAAAATGTTGGCCCATAATGCATGTAATAGTGTTTTTGTTTATGAATATTTCTACTTTCTGTTTTATTTTTAATTTTAATTATCACTAAGGTGATGTACAGAGGAATTACCATTTCATAAGCCAGGTAATGAGGACATTTCTTCCTGAGCAATGTCAGACCTTCCTTTACTCTTTCCCAGCAACCCTCTTATATAAGTCATGTATGTTTACTAGTTTTACTGACCTTAGCTAATAAAATTATATGTGGTACAATTCATTATCTTTTAACTTCACTTGCATTCTTCAAACTCTCAGGTCTGAATTTTAAATTAACTACTATTTTATAAAATACCCTTTTCTTTCAGAGACCTCTAGATTTTCAGTATGTTTGTTTAGTGCATTGTGTTATAGTCATATGTAATGTGAACTTCATAGCTTCTCGATTGAAATTTATTTTTAATGTATGACTTACTTCATCATGTATTTGCATTATGATTATATCCTCAGCCTCCTAAAACTTGATTTTACTTCTTGCATTATGCTAAGCATTTTGTAATGTGAATATTACTCATAAAACAGTGCCTAGTGCCTTACCTGCCTACCTATCTAGCTATCTTTTCTTACAAATTTAATTTATTCTATTTGTTTTATTGCAGCCAGATACCAATCTGGCTTCACAAAAGTACATCCACGGAAACTGAAAACACCAGGGAATTCTGGTATATGTAACAACATAGTTTTATCATAGTTTTTTAGAGTGAGAGTGATCTTGCTCTATAGGTTTTTGAGTAGAGCTTATATTGTCACTGATAAATGCCCATATCTCAGTGGTTAACCTTTTTTTTTTTTTCATGATTTCAGCATGTGTATGGAGAGGTGGCTTGCCTCCTCTCTGACAGTACACAGGATTGCCATCTGATTATGATGCTTTTCTCTGAAAATGGCTCAACCAGCAATATGACAGACAAACAGAATGGACGATCATATAGAGACTCTTCAAGCCCAGGTCTGGAGAGTACTTGTATTCAATTGGCTAGCCACTCTGAACACACAGCTTCTACGCCTCAAATCGTCTCTCCTTCTGATTTCTTCTCATGTTTCAGGTTTTCCAAGCTTTTCTTTCCATCAAACACATCCCACTCCATGCTTGGCAATGTAGGGACATTGCTTTCTAAAGGCTCACCCTTAAGCATTTTTTTTAATATTCCAAATCACAGATGACATCCTGGAGTACATTTTAGCCCAAACAACAAGACTAAAACGAAACCTGATTAACTGGCCAAGTAACTTGTTTTCCTAATTATGCACTTATTTGCATGAAAAATTTCGAAATAAACATTTAACTATACAATTAAATCATCATTAGTAATCATAATTACTTTCATTTTTCACATCATGCAGAATTGTAGACAGATTTTACAGCTACAATCTCTAAAACGAATAGAAAAAATAGACATTACTTAATGACTTTATATGAAAATAAAAAGCCCTTTAACTTATTTTTCCCTAGTACTTGGGCCTTGCACTCAGGCCCTTAGCCTTTAACTTGTACACTGTTATCATCCAACTCTTTGTCTACTGTGTAGTGACAATTACATGTATCGGCCACCTGTATTGGGCAAAACTCTTAAAATGTGAACAAATTGCTCTATATGAATAAAGTGTCAATACTAAGAGGCTAGAGGGTTCACAGATCTTTCTTATATTTTACTCTAGTAGGATCAAGTTTCAGTCTGGTAGATATCCAATTGTCCTAGCACATTTATTTAGTAGCCTGTCTTTTCTCCAGCCTATGTTTTTGCAACTTTTGTCAGGAATCATGTGTGTCTGCCTGGTTTGCAATGGTTTGTTTCTGTATTTTCTATGATTTTTCACTGGTATATGTGTCTGTTTTTGTTCTTGTACCATGCTGTTTTGCTGGGAGACTATATAGTATAAAGTCAGGTGTTGCAATATCACTAGTGTTTTTCTTTTAGCTTACATCGGCTTGTACCTCTTTGAATTCTAAGATTATTTTATCTAGTTCTGCGAAAACATCACTAAAATTTTGAGGAGGATTACCTTGAACCTGTAGATTGCTTTCTGTAATATATCCATTTTTCAAAATATTAATTTTGACAACCCACAAATATGGTAGGCAGTTTCATCTTCTAGTAACTTCTTATAATTTTCATTGTAGAAATGTTTCATTTCCCTTTCCCCATTCAGGTTTGTCCCTGGGTATTTCATTTTAATTTTGAGTCTTTTATAAATGCAATTCCTTTATGGCAAGTTTGTTATTAGTATACAGGAAGTTGCTGATTTTTTGTATTAATATTTCTTATGCTGCTATTGTCTAGTAGAGACTTTAATGTCTTTTAAGTAGATGATATCATGGGCAATTAGCAGAACTACAAGTCTTTAATTAGGCCAGCTACCTTGAAATTGCCACACATTTAAATTACTTAGAGAATATATAGAGTTTACACAATAAAAACTGTATTTGGGGGCTGGGAAGTTGGCTTAGTGGTAGAATGCTTGTCTCATGTGCATGAGGCACTGAGTTCGATTCCTCAGCAACACATAAGCAGAAAAGGATGCAAGTGGTGCTGTGGCTCAAGTGGTAGGGTGCTAGCCTTGAGCTGAAGAGCTGATAGCTTTGAGCTGAAGAGCTGTGGGACAGCGCCTAGGCCCAGAGTTCAGGCCCCACGACCACCACCAACAACAACAAAAAACCCTATATTTTCATTGGAAAAACATTCATGTAATAGAATACACACATATACCTATATAATCACATACATATGTGCATATGTATGTGTATATATGTGTGTATACACATTTGTGTTGTTCCTGGAGTATGAATTCAGGGTCTGGGCACTCTCTTTGAGCTTTATTGGTCAAAGTTAGCATCCACCCTCTTAGCTATAGTTCTACCTCTGGCTTTTGGTGGTTAATTGAAGATCAGAGTCTGATGGATTTTCCTGTCTGGGCTGGCTTTGAACCAAGATCCTCAGATCTCAGCCTCCTGAAGAGTTAGGATTACTAACCTATAAAATATATTTTATGTTGTACTCAAATTGAATACTAAACTTATTTATAATGAACAAAATCCATAAAAGATCCAGTAATTTAACAAGTACATTATTTCCTTGTCTACCTAACTGCACATACTTACTTGGTGAAGAGATGTGGAATGTTGGTTCACCTTCTTGCACTGCTTGATGTATCCATGATTCTGAGGACAATGAATAACTTCAACAGTCTCAAGGGGTCACTACTCACTCTCCTATTCTTATTTGGGTACTAAAATAAAAAAAAAAGTATGACTATTTGATACACTGGTAGGTTCAAAGCAAGTTCCAAGCCTTTCTTACAGCCCCTTTGTAACAATTGACCAATATAACTGAAAAAGAAATAGAGATAGAGTAAGACACATTTAATTGTTAGTATGTCTAGTCAACTCCCTAACTTTTAATAACAAATGTAGAGAAACCTTTAACAATATTGATAAAATGTAAGAGGAACATAAATTAATAGCATTAAATGAAGCAGTATCATGGTAGACTATATAAAAAGAATATAAAAATATTATGAACCTGACACTCATAAATTTGAAAAAAATGAACAGATTTATCAATAAACAAACTCTATTAAAACTCATACAATATCAACTAGATAATGTACAACACCCTAGAGCGCTTCAGGAAATTAAATTTGTTATAAGTTTCAGGAACCTCCAAATTTAAATAGTTTCATTGGAGATTTCTACCTGATGGTAAAAAAAAAAAAAAGGTCTCACAGTCTCATCTGGTAAGTTGAAGGAAAGGAATGCTTTCTAATTATTTTGGGGTAGTAATATAATATATAATATATGTATATATTTATATATATGTATATATAGACACAGAGTCTGATTATTCATGCAAAAATATTCAATGGAATGTTAACAAGCAGAATCCAACAATATTTCAAAAAGACCTTAAATCATGATCAAATAAAAATCAGAAAGAAGAAGAAAATAACAACAATAAGACAATAAGAAGATAATGAAGTTATTGGAAATAGAAAAATGTAATATATAAACACAGCCACATGCATTCCAAGCTTATATCACATGACACAACATAACTATTTTCTGGTGGATTTTTTTGGGGGGTCCAGTTGTGGGGTCTGAACTCTGGGCCTGGGTGCTGTCCCTCAGCTCTTCAGCTCAAGGCTAGCACTCTACCAGTTGAGCCACAGCGCCACTTTCGGTTTTTTTCTTTTTGCTTATGTGGTGCTGAGGAATCGAACCCAGGACCTCATGCATGCAAGGCAAGTGCTCTACCACTGCGCCACCTTCCCAGCCCCAAGGATTTTTTTTGTTTTTAAAGTACTGTCTCTATATTGTGAAAGGTGGCTTCCATCTTGCTCTGTAACCCAGGCTGTTCTCAAACTCATAAATTTCCTACGTTTTCCAAGTGCTGAGATTCCAAGCATTTATCCCATGGTGAGTTTGAAACTCAGTCTTGTGCACTGTCTATGAGAGTCTCATGAAAATTTGATTCAACAAATTTAATATACAAAAAAGGATGTTCCAAGTTATTATAGGAAAATGCAAACAAAAGGAAAGGAATTAGAATATTAGATAGAGCTTGAGGTCAAAGTAGATAAAGACACATACCAAGGAGTTCATATTGAAGACGTTATGGCCAGAAACATTTAATCATCTTACAACCAAATAAACACAAGTGGGCTGGGAAGGTGGCTCAGTGGTAGAGCGCTTACCAAATAAACACAAGTCTTAGAAATATAGCAAAAAATTGAAAGAAATAAGAACCTACAGGCCACAACCTTTATTAATCAGAAGATGAAGAGGACTGTCCTACAAGACTCATGGATATAGATGAAGGCTACTTCATATATCATTGGAGTAAAATCTAAACTGTTGAAATCAAAACAGATGTGTTGGCAAATGTCTAGCAATTGTATTCACCATCTTTTTTCAATGGTTTGACTATGAGTGAGACCACCTCATCCACACCATCTCTTGCTCCATTCCATCACTTCCTTCCCTTACTGCTTGGCTCAGTCCTACTGTGCTACCTTTGTCCTACTGCCTCTGATTTGGGGAAAGGAAGGGGATTGACAAAATGGTGAGACAAAGTACAAAGGGTGAACCCACATAACAGTGATACTTGCAAGACACTATGTTAGAAATGAACCTTACAGCTTGTACGGGGAGGGGAGTTAGGAGGAGGGAAAGTGGGAGAAAACGAGGGAGGGAGTAACACTGTTTAACAAGAAATGTACTCATTACCTTATGTTTGTAACTGTAACCCCTCTGCACATCACCTTGACAATACAATTCAACTGAAAAAGAGAATATCAAATTATCAAAGACATGTTGGTGTCGATCAGAATCACCCAGGTAGTTCACAAGAAGGTCACAGAGGCCTGACATTGCCTAACAATTCTAGTAAATACATTCCATAAGCCTGTATTTGCCTTATAAGAGCCAAGTAAACTGTATCTAATAGTTGGGACTGGACATAGAATGTTCTGATTGGCACATCAACTCTAGGGCTAGAAAAGGATACTTTTTTCTAGTAATGGGGCTTGAATTCAGTGTCTTACACTCTCTTTGTTTTTTCCCCTCATGGCTGACACAGTACCACTTGAGCCATACCTCCAGTTCTAGCCTCTTGCTTGTTAATAATTGAAGGTAACTGTCTTACAGATTTGCCTGTCTAGGCTGGCTTTGATCTGAGATTCCTGAGTAGCTAAGACTATAGACATGAGCAATTGGTCTCTGGCTAGGGTCATTCTTATCAAACCACATACCAAGGAGACTTCAACAGGAGAGCTAAGATACAACTTTCCAATGAGTAAAAGGAAATTTGGTTAAAAGAACCAACATGTCTACATATAGGATCGGAATAGTATAAAAATTTTGATTAATTGCATAGTTTTAGACACTTAAATGTGCCCAAGTTTAAGCCTCTTCTTAGTCCCATAGGATCATATGATTATAAATACGATATTTGTGGTTCCCATCTTCACAACAATCTATCTTCTACCCTGTGCTGGCTGTAACCTAAGTAACTTAAGTTTTCTTCCTTGTAGTTTTCCTTTACTTATATTTTTATTGTAAAAATAGTGTACAGAGGGGTTACAGTTACATGAGGAAGGCAATAAGTACACTTCCTGTTGAGCATTGTTACCTCCTCCTTTGTTTTTCCTCTACTATCCCTTCTATGGAATGGTCTCATGTGTTCTGATGGGTCATTTTAAAGCTACTGTAATGCTTCTGCCTATTTATAGAGAGGACTTCTTTTACCATCAGGTTGGGTGATACCGTAAACTCTGAACCTCACCCCTGATGAGGCTTCTGGTCTACACCAGCATGTCTTTGATAATTTGATCGTATTCTCTTTAAAAAATATATATTCTATTTTATTGTAAAGATGAGGTACAGAGGGTTTAGTTATGTAAGTAAGAAAATGAGTACATTTCTTGTCAGTGTTAACCCCTGCCTCATTTTCTCCCATTTTCCCTCCCTGGCTCCCCTACCCTCCAATAGTAAAGTTCATTTCCAACCTAGTGTCTTATGAGTATGGCTGTTGCATTGGTTCACCTTTGTCCTTGGTCTCACCATTTTGTTATTCCCCCTTCTTTCCCCAAATCAGATAAACATATATACAAGACACAGGGACAAAATAAAAAACAGTGACAACAGGGAATAAACCAAAGGAAAAAATGAAAGAAAAAAAGAAGTAACTTCACAGAGTACAATTTAAAACAAACCTCTTGTTTCCATATTTTGTAGTTCATTTTGATTAGCATCATTTTATCTGTTCATATGCATACAGCTATTGAGCTATGGTGAACCTCTGCTGGAACTATCCTAGACATATACTAATTATTACAAATGGGGGACATTATGGAACCTATGTTTCTTTGGGGTCTGTCTTACTTCACTTAATATGATTTTTTAATGTCCCTTTTTCTGATAGATTCATAGAATTACATCTTGGAGGCTCAGAAGTAGCAAATGATTTCTGATTTGCATCCTGACACATTACTGGCATGTGAAATATACAAATTCTCCTTCATAAGAATTTTCCAAACATGAGTATAGTCCCTGCTTTCTATTCCCTGAAGAAGTGAAAAAGGGTAATCGTTTTGTCTGTTTGGTGTCAAAGATGACGTTCAAGTCCTTGTGAATTTTAAGCGTGTCTTTTGCCACTGAGCTATCCACCAGTTTCCTAAAGTGAAAATTATTTATTGTATATTTTAAAATTGTATTATACAAATGAGTGATTTTAATTTTGGAATATATTTGTAGACATGCATGATGTCTTTGTCTTTAATTATAGAGTGTATCACAGAGAACTTCCTCTGGTAGTGGTAGACATCTTTAGAACCTTCCTTAGTAGGAAATTTGCCCTGGATCACAAGTTGACTTTAGAATCCAAACTAAAACAATAATAAGACTATGAAGCTACTAGAAGGCTACAATCTGAAATGTATGTGTTCATTTCAGTGTATGAGTTATTTGCTTATCAGGCCTTTTATATAAATTCATAGTGTAGAGTATTGAGATCTAAAATATCCAACATTTTTAATCTTTTAGACCCAAATTGAATTTCATCTGTTTGAGAAAGTAAGTTTAATATACAGATATAATTTAAACTTTTCGTGAAATCAAAGAAATAAATTAGTTTTAGTAAAGGTGTGTGAACAGAACATTTTTCTTGCCTTAAGTTCTGAAATATTTAATAATAGGTAAATATTTTAACATCTTTCCTAGGACAGACATCAATGAGAGTCATAATATAGGAACATGAAATTCTCTCTTACATTTTAATATATTTGAAAGTATCATTACGTGACTTGAAATGCTTTGAGGAAATCAATAAGTGATACATATTCATTGCAAAATTTTCAATATTGAAGGAAGCAAGTAACATTTCTTTTTAAGCAAGATTATACATAAGTTTACAGAGCATGTGACAGGTAAGATCTTTTCATTTCCTTTGGTCAGTAGCAATTCATAGACTTGAGCATGCTAAAATTTACAGTTAGCCTCTTGATGGAATATAAAATTGATAAGCAGTCTAGATAGCATTTGGAAAATATATGAACGAAATGTGTTTTGCATTTAATGAGTTTCACTGATAATCTTCATAAAAATCAAGAAAATGATTTCAAAGACTATTTTTCAAATCAAAGTATTTAAGAGCTAAGGATATCTGTTTTGTTTAGGTTTAGTGTTTTAACCATTGTTTAACTTCATTGTTTTATAAATTGAGTGAGCATAGTCTTTGGTAAAATCTCTCAGAATCTATATATCTATCAATAAACACTATATGGAAACCAACAAATATATTTCTAAAATTCTTCTTTAGTTTTCACCATCAAGAATATTATCCATAACATCTAGTTCCAGAAATGTATCTTGACTTCATTGTATGCAGGAATTAGGAGAATAATACAATAATGTGTGCTCAATTATGAGGAATGCCCAAGGTGCAGAAGTTACCATATTTTTTTATATCAAAGTTCACTATTTGATAAAAAAAAAATTCTTCGGCCAGGTGCCTTTGACAAAGGCTTGTCATCCTAGCAACTTAGGAGGTTGAGTTTTGAGGAAAATAGCCAGAAGTCAATCTTTGGCTTACATGGTAGAGTACTAGCCTTGAGAAAAACTGCTCAGAGACAGTGTCCAAGCCCTTAGTTCAAGCCCCAGGTTAGCACAAATGAAAATCTCAACTGATTCAAAATTGCTCTTAAAAGTTACCAGAAGATTTTAAGATCCATTCTTTGTATTTACTTACTATTTATTTACTTACTATCTTTAAGGAGTTTCAATTCGACAGGTCAATCATGAGGACAACACGTCTCACTCAATGGATTCAGTTTGCATGTGTGTTTTTAATCCCTGTTCATTGTCAAGAACATTCCTGTATTATGTATACTATGATCAGTTTTGTCATTTACCTCTCTGGTCTAGTTGTATGTATACTTTTGCCATACTCATATCATATTTATTTAATCTCACTTTTGAAAATGTCTTGGTCATGCTAGCAGTAGTTTTCTAATCAATTTCATTAAAAATATCTAAGTGATTTAGAAATATGACATAATATTTACCAAATTACATATTAAATTTGCACTACATTAATGCAACATACAGAAATTAGTCCATAGGTGAAATAAAGACAGGTTGATTAAACTCATATTTACAAAACACTTGTTTCCTTATTGCATGTTATCATTGTTTAAACCTCAAAGTCAAAAAGACTCCAAGATCTGCATTCTATTGCTGCTGCTTTATGCTTCCATGAATAAATTATTCAGTTAGGTGAGTTCATAATTCCTATAAACTCTTTGGGCAAAATTGTTTCCAAATCTTCTTGTAAAATCCAAACAGCTTGTACCTTTTAATGTGATTCTTTCAACTTCTATCATTTCTATGAGTGTTTTCAATTTTTAGTCAGCATTGAGACCCCATATTTTTCTTTAGATTCTACCATCCATAGTTTGCTAGCTGGAAATTCTATAGGTATTAAACCATCAGATAATGTAGCTGTAACTAAACTGATCACACATTCATTTAAAATCAATAGAAGCAGCTGGACACATGTGGCTCACACCTATAATCCTATCTACTCAAGAGGCTGACATCTAGGGATCTCTGTTCAAAGCCAGCCAGGACAGGAAAGTCTGTGAGACTCTTATCTCCAATTAACCACCAGAAAACCAGACATAATATTATGGTAGGACACTTGCCTTGAGCTGAAGAGCTTAAGGACAGCACCCAGGCCCAGAGTTCAGGCCTCACCACCAACAAAAAAAGAAAGAAAGAAAGAAAGAAAGAAGGGGAGGGGGAACGGGGAGGATTGGGTGGTGGGGCAGGGGGAGGATGGGAAGAGATGGGAAGGGGAAACAAAGGAGGAGGCTACAATGCTTGATAAGAAATGTACTCATTATCTTGCCCATGTAATTGTAACCCCTCTGTACAGTATTTTCACAATAAAAAAAGAATGTATAGCATTGATTAACAATAACCAGTTGGGAAAAATCAAGTAAATATGAAGCAGCATGATAAGATCCAATTAAACAAAGTAATCTAGACTCACACATTGGTTACTAGAAAGAAAGAACATTGGAATCATCCTTATAATATATGTGTTTAAAGCTGGAGGGAATATGCTTTAGAGAGCCACCTGATGGAGGCTTGGCCCAATGTGTGTACATACAACTAGATTTTCTTTTTTTTTGTTTTGTTTTTGGGTCCGGTTGTAGGGCCTGAACTCTGGGCCTGGGTGCTGTCCCTCAGCTCTTCAGCTCAAGGCTAGAGCTCTACC